ACGAACTTATTCCTAGGGAGAAACAGCTTTTTGAATTCAGCTCACCAATGAAGAATGAGGAAGCGGATGAGAACGGGGGAAAGGGGAGAGAGGAGGTTAGTGACATCCGTCTTTTTTCTCGTTTTGCGCCATCACTCCTCGTAGATCCCTCTGCTGTTATTTAGCTGGCTGGAAATGTTGCTTATTCAAGTCCTGTCTTACTCGCTGCCTCTGAATAATATTCTGAGTGATATTCACATATCTGTGATGCCAGAATTGAATTTAGCATATGTATTTTCTGCTTTCTGATCATCTATAGTGTTGAAATTTATAGGTGAAATTGTGCAGGGACATATAAGTAGGAACTTTTCTCGTGAAAATAAGCGGATTTTTCATTTTTTTTTTTTTTGCTGTAGGACATTAAAAAGATGAAGGGTAGTTTTGAATATAGCTCTTTTCGGATGGTATAACGTGATTGGGATTAGCCCTAGGTCAGGTCAGACTGAAATGTGATGAAACTACGACTAGATGAAGCGGCGGTAAAAACATTTTTTGCAAATTAAACCTGTTCTTTTGATGAAAAGAGGCATAAGCAAGTGGTTTTTTTGATTTTTTTCTTTGCCCATAGTGCATGCGTTTTTGCAGCCTTCTCTTCGCTGTGCATTTATTTTTCACAGCATTTTGTTTGTTTCATTGTATTTTAAATACTTCATCTGATAAATTATACTGTTAATAGTACTGACATATGCCTAAGTGTATTATTGCTGATCAGATCGACTTTCCAGCAACAGAAGGAAAGCTTCCTTTTTATTGCCGTTCTTTTTGTATTTTATCAACATTACAACCGTCGTACTGATGAGATCGGGCAGTTATGCTGAATAGAAATGTATATGACTTATTGGACCGAAACGTTCCTATTCATCTAGCTTTGCAATCTTACACTATTATATGCATATATATCATAATTAGGAGCTCTGTTAACCCTTGGCTTCCTGCAGATGACTTCGGCTTTTTGGAAGCTTTATGTAACGAGCGACGCATGACACCTACACTTAGACTTAGCCCAAACATTAGTCAAAACAGAAACCAAACCCCGGTTGATTCATTTTTGCGGAACATGCTGGAGATGGTTATCGGTTTGCTTGTTTCTTAAGTTCGGCGTCAACATCCTCCCCAATTAGGAGGGTTTTGCTCCGGAGGTACTTTTGGGCAGCTAGCCAATCTCAATCAAATACTGCGGTTTTTTTGATTTCAGTGAACCACAGGATAGGCATGGAGTCATTTTCAAGATAATCAGTGTCATTGTTCCGTGCTTTATGCGAAATATTATTGTCCAGTGTAGCAGGATTTCCGAAAATACATGATTCTGAAAAGGATTCTGG